TCCCTATATTTTTATTTCAGCTTGTTTTGTCAAGACTTTATGTATTTTTTTATAATTGAAGTTTTTTTATTACTATTATTACAAATATTATAAAAATAATAAATATTTTCATATCATTTTATAGTTAAATTATAGTAAAAATAGTGTATGTTGTAAATTAAAAGATTATTTTAAATTCTATAATAAAAAATCAAAATAACGGACAAAAATATGTCTTTTTTACAGGGTCGGCCAAGATCCAGTTTTTCAACAACTTCGTGGCAATCTCTAATACGTGTCCGTTCATTTTTAGTTTTAGCATATTGTTAACAAAAAATTTAAAAAGTTTTTTAGAGTTAAAATGTTTTTTAATAATTGGTAAAACTATAGTTAACGATTTAAACAAAAATTCTGTATTGTTTAAATTGTCATTACAATGTGTTATAATCCAGTTTTAAAGAACCACAATTGAACAATAAAAAACATATGACATTATGGGATGCAAAGTTTTTAAAATTAAATAACAATATTCACTCATTATAATTGTTGTATACACAGAAAATACTTACAAATAAAAATTATTAGAAATAATTTTAGTGATTTTAATTTAAAATTTTTATTTAAACAATTAATTTACCTTTTCAACATACACATTAATATTTATTATTAATATTTATTGTTAATATATATATATATATGTATATTTGTCAGTTTAACAAAGGTTTTGAAAAGTTTATTCATTTTCTTTTTAATTAAAGTATTAATTAAACAATTAAATAGAAGTAATTTAATTATCTTTTCAATAATACAAAACAAACAATGTATTATTTTTTGAATGGAGTAAACCACATTACCTTCAAAACAATAAAACTTATCTTTAGTTATATTTCTTGATAAAAACGATTATTCAAATTATAATAATAATCAGTCAAAATAATAATTATCATTCAAATAAAAAACATATATCAGAGCAAGTTTAAATAAGTTTTATTTACATGTATAATTTACAATTGAAAGGTTTTAACGTACAATTATATTAACACAAAGATATATGTATATTGTTGTATTTAAAGTAATTTGAAAATAATTTTATGTCTAATATAAATTATCGTTTTATTTTTCTTCGTTTTATCATATATTATAAATAATTGTGTTTTGTCATTTTCTTTTTGTTTTTCAAAAATGATAATGTTATTTACCATTTTATTGTTTTTTAAGTTTTTTTTCAATAACATGATCGTTTGGCAGATTCTGCTTTTTTTGACAATTAAGTGTTAAAAAAATAATCTAGTATTTTGTTTGGGTTTTAAATTCAAAAAATAAACAATCACCACGAGTTAGTGAAGTCCTCCTTGCCGCGTATTCCTCGAACCTTTTCCCGCAAGCGGAGAAAAACAACTTCGTCGGTACGGACAGTGGATGTGATGACACAGAGACAAATAAACAGTCACTGAGAGGTATTATTTTTTATAAAAAAGTATTTGCCTCAAATATCTTACTTAACAAATGAAAAAAAAAATTAAAAAACACTTTTTTATTTTTTAAAATTATAAAAAATAATGATAAAGTCAATCCGAAATCGTTATTTATTCTGTTAACCTTATATATCTATTATGATTCATTATTTGATTATTTATATTAAATAATTCTCCACAAAATAAAATAAAAAATGTGTAATATATTTTATTTTAATTGATATATTCAATATTAAAAGTGTCATTAACTTTGTAGAAAGCATATCTTTGAACCACAGTTGATTGATTCATGTTTTTTACGCATTTTAAGTGTAGACAACACGAAAAGGCATACGACTTTATTAACTTTACATTCGCTCCCATTAAAACCTCCTTCAAATTTAATAATTTAAATGCGATTTGATCAATTACAGTGACTTCGTCTGGTATTTTTAAAACGCCATTACAATCAATTGAATTCATATCGATACAATAAAGCACGACATCTCCTTTAAACGTGTATTTATTTTTAATTACTTTGAATATGTAATAATCAACACTTCCTTCAAAAACAAAATTTAAAGGAATATTTGTAAATTCGATGTTTTTTATGTTGAAACATTTGTACAGCACACAATTGTTTGTTATGTTTTGATCTATAAAAGTGACTGAAGTAAGTTTTTCACATCGTTTTATTTTAAGACTTGTATTTGGAACAATACAAAGTTCTTCAATTGTTGCATGTTTAAAAGTATCGACAATATGTGTGTAACTTGCTGGAAACACAAGTTTTCTTAATTTTTCATTCTTTTTGAACGCATTTATCGACATTTCGGTAATTCCCTCTGGAATTGTCATTTCTTTGTATTTGTAATTTTCAAAGTTTGCGTCTGATATAATTGTTCGAAGGTTTTTAATATTTGAAGGAATTATTCCTTTGAACACATCGACGTCTTGTTGAGTGTAACAAAACTCATTAATTTCAATATTCTTCGCATCTAACATTTCTTTCATCCAACATGCAGCCTTCACGTTCATTACTTTAGTGCTAATGGCATCGATTTTCTTCAGTCCGGTGTATTCGTATAAATTGTTAATTCTAACATTACTATTCAATGTTATTGCAGTGAGACAAGTCATGAAATGTTGAGTTCCAAAAGATATCACATGCGACAAATCAAGTCGTTTTAAGTCACATCCTGATAACGCGTTGTATTCAATAGTTGTCACTGTGCTCGCCAGATTTATATCGGATAATCCTCTCTTGTTAACATAAACATTTGATTGAATTTCGTCCGATAAAAAATCGGGTAAAATAAAGTTGGTATAGTCCTCCTT